ATGATGTATTTTTAGGAGGTCTGCCAGCTACCGCTCACAGTTCTGCCAGTAAAACAAAGACAGTGATTTAGGGTAACTGTACTGTATCTAAAGTGGAATTGTTATTATTGATATTAATATTAAAATTATTATTGTTTTGTTAACTGTATAATATATAATTAAACTTGCCTAATTGATGTCTTATCTATATTAATTTCATAAAACAAAAGACAAAGGTCAAATGAAAGTGTGAAACTGTAAAAAAAAAACTTTGAGTTGAGAAAAATGAGTGTAAAATAAGGGTTGTGCAAAGCACAATAAAAGATCTTGAAGATAAGAAATGGTTGAAACTTTAGTTCCAATATAATACTGATTATTTCTGGAAAATGTAATAACAGCTTTCTGAAAATCACAAAAACTAACACTGAAATCTCATGTTTAAAAATCACTGACATACTTATTTATTAGTCTGTGCATAAGGAGGTACAGCAGGTCGTCCATTAGTCAATCAGAAGGTTGGTGGTTTGATCCTCGATTTCTCCTACCCCATCTCAAAGTGTCCTTGAGCAAGATAATATACCCCAGACTGCCCCCGATGCTGTGCCATTGGTGTATGACTGTGACTGTGTGTGATGAGCAGTTGGCACCTTGCATGGTCTCTGCCTCTGCCATTACTGTATGAATGGGTGTGAATGTAGACATGTAGTGTAAAGTGCTTTGAGTGGTCAGAAGACTAGAAAGGTGCTATGTAAGTGCAGTCAATTTACCATCTAAATATGTGTTAACCTATAAATGATACTGTGCACTACTGATTTATAGGTGGCCACAAGCTAGCTGTGGCTGTAATGAGCTTGTTTTATCATTAGGTTTACAAAGACCAGTTTTCATCTATAGTGACTTCTCAAATAGCTTCCCTGAACAGTAACGGAACTTATGAAATCTTTCGGTCTATAAAAATGAATATACCGAAAGAGGAAAAAAACTGTGTAATTAAATTTCTTTTACAGGACTTTAAATGTGTCATCACTGAATTACAAATAGATGTTGCTTCACTTCTTTGTAGTTTGAGTCATTAACTGTGGGGCTACTTTCCTAAGAAATTGCTCATGTCAAAACCCACAAGGTCAACACCCAATTGCTTGTTCCATATTGGCACCTGGAACATCTCACTGACTTAAGGAGTGTTCTTGCTTCCATGTAAGCAGTCCACGTAGGGTCGTTCAGCACTGGACACTTCAAAACACTCAAAAACACCATACAGGTTTAATTTGTTAAAATTCTTTAAAATATCATCAAGAGTACAAACCACTTCAGCCTAAATAAGCATAGATCAAACTCACAGTCATTTATTTTTGAATTATTGTCCAGATCCCAAGGATACCAGAGAACAAATACATTACGCCTGAAATATTATAGAGTAGATATACAGCGAACACAAGTTTACACTCTTCTAACATGTTTACAAATATCTGTCTTTTTCTGCTCTGCAGTGACCTCATATTATATATATATATATATATATAGATATTTTGAAGCGGTGCAGCCTCTATAATAAAAAGCCTGCTTCAGGTCAATGGGACAGTGTGTCACCTCCCCTCTCTGTGGCAAAGTGCCCCGACCTTTCCAGAAGCTGGTGAAATATCTTCCATATATTGTTACACCACCTCACCACCTTTCTCAAAGGAGTCATGGCCGAATTAGTGGCT